CAACTTTCTAGCTTTTCTCATTCCCGAGTTATGAATTTTCCCGCCATAATTTTCACATGCCCGTACTTAAGCCCCGTGCTGTCCTGAGCAGCTGAATTTGAAATCTTTTTGTCATACACAGGTGGGGAACATCCCCCAAAGGTCTCAGCTTTCTAACTTTTCTCGTTCCCGACTTATCAATTTTCGCGCCAAAACTTTCACGTGCTCGTACACGGGACCCAGACGTGCTTGAGAGTTGATACTGCGGTCCTGGGTTGGCACTTGGCTGGGGAACATATTGGCAAAATTTCAGCTTCAGAGCTTGCGTGGTTAGCGAGTTGAAACTCCCGGACAGACGAACACACACACGTTGCAAATGCGTTTTTGCTGCCTGTTGCAGCACTCTAGCGCTGCACGGCAAAAACGTATAAAAATGAGCCTAAAGCAAAAAAAAAAAAGTAAAGACAGACGAAAAACTTGCCATTAGTAGGGGATTTCCACATTTATGAAGCTGCTGCTTCCGTAAAGCTGAGGGCAAGTAAGATAAAGGTGCGCAGATAAAGCTGTGAACTCTTAGCTTTACCTAAGAATCAGCTTTATAAGTGCGAAAGCCCACTACTGCAGGCAAGCTTTGAGCGAAAGAAAAACCCACCTTCAGTAAAGGATTTTCCCATTTATCAAATTGATGCTTAGATACAGCTGAGAGCGATTAAAGCAAATCTGTATAAATAAGCAACAGCTTCATAAGTAGGGAAGCCCGGTACTGCAGACGAGCTTTTTTGTAAAGCAATTTCCACTCACAGTTTTTCTATTCGCTAAGTTTTTGTTTGTTTTTTGCTTTTTCTTCCTCAGTTTTTATTTGCTTTTGCTTTCTTCAGCTTTTATCCATTGGTCCCGATTCTTTGACTTCGCTTTCTTCTTTTTTTCTCTCCTATAATTTCAGGCTTTTTTTGATTTAGTTTTCTTTGTACTGCTGTGTCGTCTCTTCCTCTTTATTACTGCCTCCAGTCCATGCCTTGAACTCTTAACTAGTACCTCCATGGCGGCATCTGGGCAAGCATCACCTACTACCCCCAACCACTGTCACCAACAATTGTTCCGAACCTCCTCACTAGCGCCCTTGTTCTTCTCCTCCATCCTGTCCCAATCCGCACCTCCGGAGCTGCATGTGGGCACCCATCCAACAGCATCCCCAACCATATCCCAGCTTCCCAACCACGTCTAATCCCCCAACCATGCGACCCAGCCCCCAAACGCAAGGTAGCGCTATCCGGCACTCCTTGCAAAGTGCCAAGCGGCGTCGGCGATCTTTTTGCAAAATAGCGTTAGCAGAGATGTTGGAGTAACGGCCGAGCTGATTTTTAGTAGCTACCATTAATGAGAAGCTTTTTTCTGTTATGGTTGCTCTTGACATGCTAGTCAGATGTTACTCCCTGACTAGTTGCCAAATAAAAAATTTTGATATTGTTTGCGTGTTGCGACTATGCTGGCTTAGTGCTAACTCATCTGGCCAAACCTGTATTGTCCTCTGCACCAAGTTCTGTAAAGACTTGAGTGATTGTTTCGTTATTACGCGTTTTTGCCGTGCAGCGCTAGAGCGCTGCAACAGGCGGCAAAAACGCATACTGCAACGACCCTTTCAGTGTGTGTGCATGCGTATTTATGTATGCATGTTTTTGTGTGTGTGTGTGTTTTCGTCTGTCCGGGTATTTCAACTCGTCAACCACGCAAGCTTTGAAGCTGAAATTTTTTCAGTGTGTTCCCCAGCCAAGTGCCACTCCAGAGCCGCGGTATCAACCCTCACGCACGTCTGGACCCCGCGTGCAATCACGTGAGAATTCCGGCAGGAAAACTGCTTATCTCGGTAACGAGAAAAGTTAGCTGAAACTTTAGGGGAATGCTCCCTCTCATGTACGACCGAAATCAGTGGGTTAGAACCGTCTGGGGACCACACACGAGCACGTGAAAATTTTGCCGGGAAAACTGCTAACTCAGGAAGAACAAAAGCTGGAACGCTGGAATTTTAAGGGGATTTCCCCTGCTCATGTGCGACTAAAAGATTTTATATTCAGCTCTTCTAGTGGGGTCTTTTTCGCTCATCACCAACTTTCCGTTTGTCGAATCATTGAAGCGGACATCTACAACTGATACG